GGAAACGGCAGGAAATGGAGTTGAGGATTATCAGATCAGCCATGATCTCATTGAATGCTGGGAGACAGACTCATGGGCTGAATGGCCTACTTCTGCTCCTACATCTTACGGTTTTATAAGAGATTGTTTTAAAAAATTACATTGTGCATGGTTTAAAATCATGATATGTCATAATTTTGGCTCTATGTTAGCTGTTGTCACTGGGCTCCCTCAAGTCCAAAGCTGTCTAGTATGGATTAGGATATCTATCGTTTAGTTCTAGCTAGTAGAATGTTTTTGAGTACTCAGCGTGAAGTTTATTACATCTGGCACCCATTTACAGGTAACATGGATGTAGCTAACATCATTCTGGAGACTGTTAGGAGAACATTAGCTCCAGGTCTGTCTCCGTCAAACTCCTTCTTTACACTGACCTACTCCTATGACATCATCACATGGGGGTGATGCTTACCACACTGAAACAAGCTTCCACCCTTTGAGACCCACATACAAAGATCCTGGAAGGTTTCTTTTACTGATAATTATTATCTTGTTATACAGTTGTTTACATATTTACAATTAAATGATCCCATCTCTTTCCCCCACCCGCAATTTTTAACTGTACAAATTCAAGCTATTTGGAGATTTCACGATTCTTCCTGAATATTCTCGCAATCTTGGAGAATGCTAATTTGACAGCTAGAAGGTGGTTGACTGGGATGGTCTTCCTGAAGCTCTGAGGTCTGTCATTCTTTTACATCGGAAGGTGTTTAATTTATTATTTTTCTTTCACAGAGGACTTATGTGATGTACATCTATGCTTTTTGCTAAAAGTGTAGTCATGTTTTAGCGGGCAATTTTCTTCACAGCATCTTCAATCATTTTTTTCTTTATTCTTGTATGGAATGTGGGTATCACTGCAAGGACCAGTATTTCTTGCTTATCTCTAGTTGCCAATGAAATGATTGGCTCTTCGGGCCATTTCAATGGCTAATTGAGAGTCAATTACATTGCGTGGGTTCGCAGTCACATGTACAGAAGACCAAGTAAGGGTGGCAGGTTTGCTTCCTGAAAGGCCGTTAGTGAACCAGATGGATTTTATGACAATCGTCACGTTTATCCAGATTTAAATTTCAGATTTTTTAAACTGAATTCAATTTAGGTTCAAGGTTTTCCCCCAGTATTCTAGCCGGGGTTCTGGATTATTAATCTGGTGACATTACAACCATGCCATCACTTTCTTTATGTTGTTTGTCTTTCCATGGAGCTGTGTGCACCACATCCTTAATTTGTGTCAGTGGAGTTTGGATCTCAATCCACCAATAGACCTCTGCAAAGGTAGGTAGACTAATTACTTGACTACTATGCATTCTCCTCCTCTATCAGCAATTGAACTTTGTTGAAACCAGTCTGTTCACTTTCTTGGTTGAGATTCATTTTGCTTGGGTTGTCCCTTCCAAATAACCTCAGCCTTTAATGGCAAATGCGAACTTGAATAAGGGAGCTGTTCACTGTGCTGTGTATTTTCTGTCAGGTCTGAAATACTTTCCATTTCATTGACTGAAGCATTCTGCTATTAGGAGTCTCGCCTTAGGGTTTGCAGGTTTGCAATGAAAAGCAATTTGCAGAATCTGCTCCTTTTGAAGTCTTCAGACAAATGCTTCCATTTTCCGTCTATCACTATACATTTGCCTTTCTTCTTGAATTTTGTTGCCACTTGGAAACTGAACGCTCTTCAGTTTTGTTAGTAATGGAAAGTAGTTCAGCCAACTGATTTTAGCCCTGGCTTTCTATATCATTTAGGGGATGAAACCAATAGTTTATTCCAATGTAGCTAATCTCAGGAGATTCTGCATTTTGTTAATGTTCTCCCACAATCTTATAGAACCTAGCAACAATTTCTACTGCTTTGCCTTGACCTTTCATTGTTTAACCATGTCAATCTTTTAAAAACACAAGGGTCAATACAAGCTGAGATAACAAGATGTAGAGCTGGATGAACAAAGCAGGCCAAGCAGCATCAGGGGAGTAGGAAAGCTGACGTTTCAGGTCTAGACCCTTCTTCAGAAAATCTTCAGTCAATACAAGCTGTTCCTTTCAAGAGTAAAAATGTCTTGGTTGAGAAATGCATAAGGGTTTTCTAATATTTGGAGATCTTTATGTTGGAGAATTGCTTGTAGCATACAATTAACATTAAGGATGTTGCCCCTTTAACCATGTACCTGAACTTCTGTTGGCTATAATTGGCATTTTAATAAACAAGACTTACTATTTGACAATATTATGACATTTGCTCCCATTAAATTTCTGAGATGCCCATTGACATAAATGCTTACATTCCAAAATGTTTGGGCTGCGTGGCTGATTTCTCCTTAATAAATTTTGTGTTTGTCTTCTACTGGAGACTGTTATGCCTCAGTTATAACTTTGTGTCAGTATCTATTTGGTCTTTTGCGTTCCTGTGGCTGTGTCACACTTCAACACAATTTCTGAAAGTGACCAACTTTCTTACATTAAAAGCATTCAGTTTAAAAGCTGTTTGTGCATGCAAGATTACGTTGCTCTACAACATTGGCAACAGATTTATCATCTATCCTACCAATTGCTTTAGCTTATCTGCTACACCTTTTGTGTTTTTGTACGTTAAGAAATGATTAGATTATGTAGATCTGCCAATTCTTATCTTCTCCTCTTAAGATTGATTTATTTTATTTCCAGTCCTCTGTTGGTATTTTGAGGAAGTGAGGAAAATGATAGATGATGATAAGGCAATGAATCTTGTCTACATGGACTTTAAACCATTTGACAAGGTCCCTCATGGCGGGCTGGTCCAGAAGATTAATTCACTTGGGATCTACGGTGAGCTGGTAAATTGGATACAAAATTGGCTTGGCCATAGAGGACAGAAGGTAGTTGTTGAGGTATGTTTTTCTGACTGGAGATCTGTGACCGATGACGTTGCACAAGGATCAGTGCTGGGACCTTGTAGTATGTATATTATTATTATGTATCATCCAAATCATTTACAGATCTAATGTCAGTTATCTGATTAGTATGTTGCAGATGACATGAAAATTGGTGGAGTTGTGGACAGTGAGGAAGGTTATCAAAGGCAGGATATAGATCAGCCAGAAAGTTGGATGGAAAAATGGCAGATGGAGTTTAATCCAGACAAGTATTAAGTGATGCATTTTGTGAGGTCAAATGCAGGAAGAAAGTGCACCAAAAATGGCTGAACCCTTAGGAACATTAATATACTGAGGAAAATTGGGGTTCAAGTCCATAACTCCCTGAAAGTGGCAACACAAGTGGATAGGCTGTCAAGATGATGTGAGGCTTGAGGGTAAACTGGCCGTGATGTTCACATGCATCTGCTGTTTTTGTCCTTCCACGTAGTAGAGGTTATGGAAATAGAAGATGCTGTCAAAGGAGCTTTAGTAAGATACTGCAGTACATCTTGTAGATGGTATACACTGCTGTCACTGTGCTCCTTGGCAAGCAGTAAAATCATTTGTTGTACTTCCGATTGTGTAAAGAAGTGTACTTACTTGTTCAGCATCTGTATTACTATCCAGTTTATAAGATATTCTATACCTCAAGAATTATCTTCTCCAAGATGTCCAATTTTGTGCTCTATGGCTCATCTTTTGAGATTAAGTTTGCCTGCCAATACTATTCCTGATGTCATGGCTTCTTAATGTGATTATGTGTTGTATCTTCCTGAAATACATTTGTCCTTCAGTGAAAGCAGTTCTCCTGTGCTTTGATTCCTGCACTTTGCAGCTGTAGTGGAGGTTTTCCCAAGCTTTGAAGCTTCAATATGACTCCCACTGCGTACTCCTTGTTTCCTGAAAAATATGCTCTGTTTGAAAAGAATTATGCATATCTTTAAGTTGCCCAATGATTATCTGCTTTAAGTGAATTAGTCTGTGATTTCTGCAGCTCTCCACTCCAGAAATACAGAAGTGTTCTTTTCGTGACCCTTTTAGTTTATTTTTTTCCAGCCCTGCCTCATGTTGTGGCGGTGAAATCCAATTGAAGGTCTGATTCTACGACTGAATATTACTGCCTTTTCAGTCTAAACTCCTGTATTATTTAAAATTTCCCCTTTAGTACAAGGGATTTTTGACTTTGGAGCACACAATCCTCGATATCTGGTGGCTCACCGACTCAATTAGACAAAGGATTGTTTCCACAGGCTTTGCCTCATGATGCAGCCTGCATCTCTGTCCTTGCAGCTAAAAAAAGATTGTTTCTGTACATCTTCTGTCAGCCTGAAATACTTCCCATTTCATTCACTGAAATATTCTTCTATTAGGAGTCTCCCCACAGGGTTTGCAGGTTTGCTGTCAAAAGCAATTTGGAGAATCTGCTCCTCTTGAAGTCTTCAGGCTCTCCAACATGTTTTTTTTCTTCTTGAAGCCCTACATTCTGCTGTTTCTTAGTTGGCACTATTTAGAAATAATGCTGGCCATCGCTGCTCACCATTACATGGCAGGGACTCACCAACGAGGCCGTATTGTGTGTGGTTTCAAACCCTGGGGTCTAGTAAGGATGAAGATATCTTTCTGGTCCAGGCAAAAGAGTTTTGTAGTGCAAACAATATGAAACTGGGGAGGCGATGGCCTAGCAGTATTATCGCTGGACTGTTAAACCAGAGACCCAAATAATGTTCTGGGCACCCGGGTTTGAATCCTGCCACAGCAGATGGTGGAATTTGAATTCAATAAATATCTGGCATTAAGAATCTACTAATGACTGTGAATCCACTGTTGATTGTCGGAAAAACCCATCTGGTTCACTAATGTCCTTTCGGGAAGGAAACTGCCATCCTTACCTGGTCTGGCCTACATGTGACTCCAGACCCACAGCAATGTGGTTGACTCTTAACTGCCCTCTGGGCAATTAGGGATGGGCAATAAATGCTGCCTAGCCAGCACGCCCTCATCCTGTGAATGAATAAAGAAAAAAAAATTATTTCATGCCTGAAACTATTTGCAGGTTGCATGAATAAGACCAACATACTTATCTGGCAGGGGAGATACCATGATCAGTAAGGTGGTTCTCCCAGGATGAGGCTATCCCATTGCTCTTCGGGTGTACTGACACCTGTGATGTCCCCAGGCCCCAAATGCAGGATACTTGACCGCAAAATTTGTGATGGTGGGAGACTGCATTCGCACTCTCTTTTTAGGGAGGTGGCCAGTGGCTCAGTGGTTAGCACTGCAGCCTCACAGCACCAGGGGCCTGGGTTCAATTCCACCCTTGGGCGACTGTCTGTGTGGAGTTTGCACATTCTCCCTGTGTCTGTGCAGGTTTCCTCTGGGTTTTCTGGTTTCCTCCCACAGTCCAAAATGTGCAGCTTAGGTGAATTGGCCATGCTAAATTACCCGTAGTGTTCAGGGATGTGTAGATTAAGTCAATTATGTCTGGATGGGATGCTCTGAGAGTCAGTGGATTTGTGGGCTGAAGGGCCTGTTTCCACATTGTAGGAATTCTAACAAATCACTACTGAGACTGTTAGCAGCACATTAGCCTCAGGTCTGTGTCCTTCTTTGATCTGATATTATTCCAGTGCTTAGTGCACTCAATCAACTATTAATCCTTTTAGACAATTACGCAACAGTGACAGCAGAATAAACAAATTCACACCATGTCACTCAGTTTATTCAAATGTTGAAGAATTGTAAATTCTGTACAAAATTCAAGTGCCAAAGTTCTGAAAAGGGGTTGGAGAGAGGAGCAAAGGGTTGCAAGTTGGTAATTCAATCTGCATATTCTGGGTATATTATGTGCCACAAACACAATTAAGCATTTAACATGATGATACCTGTCAAAGTTAAGAGTAAAATATTTCAATCAGTAGATATTTAAATCAAACACATTTACACGGAACCTTCAGTTTTCCCTGGAATTGAAATCAATTAGTTTTGACCACATACAAAAGAGAAAAAATATATTGTGAGTCTCACTTCTTCTAAAAATTGTTCTTGATTCTGATCTGTGATGTGAATTGCACCTTTGTTCTGAATTGCTAGGCTGAAAAATTAGCAGGAAAAAAACGAAAAAGCAATTCCTTGAAAACGATTTCAGGAATATCTAAAAAAGCTTACTTATTGGAAAGATTCTGTTGGTTTAAGTACAAAAGCAATTGTGTAATCACCTACTGATATGGAACCAGTGTATGCATAATGCACACTGCATTCACCAGAACACAAACACTTCACCCATTAATTCCTTTTATATTTTCCCTGACAGCTACAAATTGTAGATCTATCCTCTAGAGACTTATTTTTTCACACATCTTGACAACAATGTTGGTTTATTATTTTTACACTTGAAGTATTCTTCCTAGAAAATAAACCTTTTAAAAACATTCATCATTATTTTTGGCTTTATATGCATTTGGCACACAGCATAGTGGGACTTATTGGAATTGAGGTTCTAAATGTTTCACCTTGAAATGTTTTTTCCGATCTTGAATATTTTTGGTCCCTTAAACCATTGTTGAACAAATTTTGATTCAAGGACAGAATATTTTATGTAGGGAATCCCATTCCAACATGCCCATTTTATAGATCTTCTGTTCAAGGAAATTGCATCAAAATCAAGTCTGATCAATTCATTTCCTTTTTTTTCTCAGGATCTCAAACCTGTGGAATTCTTTACTCTTCCTTAAGCTTTTAAACTCTGATCTTTGACAGCACTATTTACCCTGTTTACCATGTAATTGTTTTCTGTCATGAAAGCGTATTGCATTATAGCACAGGCTCTTCATCTAGGTTTCTCAATGAAAGCAAATGGTGGTGGAAATATAACATTTGACCCCGCTGCTGTCCTCCATTTCCACTGTGAATTGTACAACAGTTTTCTGTCAAATAGCAATAGTGATGTGTTTGGTTTTGTTGCTTTCATCTGAAGTGGAACACATTTTAATCCAAGGAAAGATAGTGAATTGCATCCTATTATTTGCCTCCTGGAGACTGATCATTCCTCACACAGCAGAACAAAAACACAAAAATGTAGGCTGACACCCCAATGCAGAACAGAGGGATCGCTGCATTGTTAATGGTGCCGTCTCTCAGATCAGATGTTAAAACAAGGCCCCCTCTGTCAAATGGATGTAAACAAAAACCTGTGGCACTATTTCACAGCAGAACAGGGGAATTACAGCATCCCGGTCAATACTTATCCCACAATCAACATCGGATTATCACAAAAAATTGATTATTTGGTCATTATGGCATTACTGAAGATCCCTGTATGCAGAAAATAGCCACCGTGTTTCTGGCATCCTATTGGTGACTACAGGTCAATATTACTACACTGACTGTAAGTCACTTTGGGACATATTGAGGTCATGAAAGGTGCTGTAAATATAGAAATCAACTCTTTCTTTCTTAATACATCCTATAAAAAAATTGTTCAGCATTTGTAATTTGATTGGGTGCAGAATGAGTGACTAAATCAATATTTTGAAATCTAGCCAAGTCATCTTTTTAGCAAGTGGTTCGCAGAAATGTTGCGAACCAAACAGAAAATGCAGTGGTGTAGTGTCACAGCCAGCAGAAAGGACCCTGTTCCCTTGCTCTTGTGTTGTTAGCAGAGCGCCAGCAATTCTGGATGCTTAAAATTGTCAACAGCCATCATGTCCACCATTTAACTAGAAATAGATATAATCATTGTAGGTAGCAAACTGTCCATAGCTATACAAAAATAATAGTAAACCTGTGATAACATCACTCACGTTGGAAGATAAGGGTGAAAAATTGGCGATGCTCCATTTTCAGGCTCATGATGAATGGCAGCAGTCAGCAGGCACCTCAAGTGGCAGAACCACGGTTGGTCCGAAAGAGACTTCAACATAGTTTCTGTCATTTGGGGGAGCTGCCAGCACTGATTCCATCTCCACTGGCAGCTTGCCTGCGTTCCAATGAGAAATATTGAGCCACTATGAATACAAAAGAAGTTCCCAGGATCCACTGGCACTAGAAGACTTTGGCATGGAGCAGCAATGGGAAGATGCTAGAGTTTAACCTTAGTGGGCTCCTTCCATGGCGAGAGACATAAATAAGATTGAAATGATCCAAAGCTGCGTTATTCTTCACAATTCAGTATGTGAACTATACCAGTGTAATATTCTCGATCAACATTTTAGAATGGGAATTGCAATAGTAAAGGAAGATAATAAATACACTGACCATGTTCTATAAAGTATGGAATGGATTGGTGGGAATTACTCAGTGTCCATTGTACATCTAAATATACATGTACATTTAAACTATGAAGAGTCCTAGCATGGTACAAAATGTTCATATATCTGTGCAAAATGTTCATATGTGTTATACTGTAGGACCTGTTGCAGATATTTCCCAATAAGTCAAATTGAAGTACTTTCCCTAGAGGCTTAGTAACTAGCTTAAAACCATTTTCAAACTAAGCCTTCCTTTTTTTTAAAAGGTGATGTGGAATAGAAAGGTATAAACACTTGTGAAATTATTTCACAAAGAACATCTTAATCTTAGCAAATTGAATAAACAGATAAAAAGGATTTAATGATGTAATAGTTGAGGATGTTTCATACATATCTTTTAATCAACGAGTTAAAGTTCAGAGATTTCCACTTTTGTGAGATGTTTGTCTGATACCATCCCTAAAAGGGTGTACCGTATCCATTTTCATGTACAATAATCATATAATGACTTCTGTTCACATCCACAGCTCTCAGGCACCACAGTGAAGTTTAAAGATTGACAGGTTATAATAAAACAGTCAGCATGTTGATACATTTTGAAAAAGATTTTTCAAAGCCTGAAGCTTTTGCAAAGTCCACTTCCATATCAAAATGCCCTAACATGGATCTTAGTGTCACAGAAACATGTTAAATACACACACAAGTTACCTCAATTAAGTCAAGAAGCACCTTCATATAGATTTTGCAATGGGTTACAACACAAGGAAATGAAGTTTTACCTCATAATAGAAAGGAGCATCTGGTAAAACTCATTAAGACTGATGTTTCTGAAGAATGCCAAGAGAGTAATTTGTTGAAAGGATGGAATGTTTAATATTATGTCTGTACATCAACCATCCAGTGTGGAAATGACCGTGAGAAAGAACAAAATATTCCATCAGATCATCATTTTGAACTGCATTCAGCTTTCAAAATGTGTCTAATTTCATTTCCACAAATGTTCAAAATTCAAAAAGTAACTTCTGGTCAAATTTCATGACCATCAAACCAAATTAAGGTTTATTACCAAATCCCTACAGTGTGGATGCAGGCCATTCAGCCCATCAACTCCATACTGACCATCCAAACACATCCCACCCAGACCCACCTCATCCCTGCATTTCCAACAGCTAATCCACCTAGTCTGTACATTCCTGGATTCTATGGGCAATTTAACATGGCCAATCCACTTAATCCACCCAGCGGAAACCCATACAGACACAGGGAGACTGTGCAAACTCCACACAGACAGTCACCCGAGGCTGGAATTGAACCTGGGTCCCTGGCGGTGTGAGGCTGCAGTGCTAACTACTCAGCGACTGTGCTGCCCTTTGAAGCAGAATTGTGGAATATGTTTCCACTGATAATGACCTCAGAAGAAGCAAAAGCAATCATGTTTTCACTGTTTCCTATTATGTGCAGAAATACAATGGTTAAAATTTGCAGCAAAATATCCCAATTTACTAATTGTCTGCACCTACATACTTGAAAAGAGGAGAGGCCTTGCAAAAGGCAGGATTCAATGAGCAATTATTAAACATTTACACCTTTAAAAACAAAGAGATTTCAAATCTGGGTGTCCATTCAACCATTTCCTTTGCATGTCTCTTCCTATCCCTCAATGTCTGTGGCCTGTTGGCATCATCCTGATTTCTTACAGTGATTCACTAAACAGGGAGCTGCAGCAGTGATCTAATAAGTAGTTGCAATTAAAGATTTTTTTACTGAATGGACAGACAGGAGTCAGGCACTGCTGGTCCACAAAATGAATCCTTTATTTCGAAATGTTTCAATTGTAATGCTTCCAACATTAGTGATATGGAAAAGATTCCCTAGAATTGTTTCAAGAATGAAGAACCTTGGCTACCCAGATAGACTGGAAAACTTGGGACATGAAGAAAAGAAGTTTGAGAGGAGACTTGATAGAGGCATTCAAATGATGGGGTGGGGTGGGGTT